TATTTAATTTTACTTTTAATATATATAGATGATTACGGGTGACCTAACAGTTGGTGCGTATGGAGTGGGATTCCGGGGGGTTCGTGGTTTGAGTCCCGTTGCTGCACACCGTATTTTGGAGCTGCGAGTACGCTATAAGAGTGACGACCAAATCTTGATCTCCTGCCCCGGGGTTCAAATACCCCCTCATTATTCACAGAGGCCCCAAAGTACCGATTAAGCTCCTCTATTACCCCCAATTCTATAGCTACCTAAGGGGGTTACTTAAGGGGGTCATTACTTAAAAAACACGATATTCGCCCGTAGCCTAGTTTAATCAAGCTAGGTTGCGAGTGAGTAACGAACACAGAATCGGAAATGGCACCCCCGAGATGCCGGGGGTGAAGGGGGCAGGAACACAAAATTCGATTCCAGATTCGAGTTGTGTGACCTTTCAAACCCACTCCTAGTATACCCTATCATCACAGAGTGACCTTCAGAGGGTGTATTAGCTCCGCTTCATGTACCAAATATATAAGGTTACGACACTGTGTCCACCTCGAGTCCACCTGCAATGTTTGGTCTTGCTAGCTCCAAAATTGTGTCACGGACAAACAAATTCACGAACACGCAACGTGAATTAATAGCAGTAATGGTGGTATTTTTAACTGCCTTTCGTACATGTTACTCATATGTTACTAAAAATCTTAACTGTAACCCAACACAATTTGGTGTATACATAGTCTAGAAAGAAAAAAAAAACATTTCAAAGGCTACGGACCCTATCAGTAACTCCAAAGTTAACACGTGGCGAATCGTGCAAACTTCAAATTTAACATGTGGCGAAACGTCCAAACTCCAAGTTTAACACGTGGCGAAACGTCCAAACTCTACGGTTAAACACGTAGCGAAACGTACATTTTGGCAATAATCTCAAATCTCTTTTCATCTCCCTTCCACTCAACTAAAGATTAATTACCCAGAAACAAATTTTCACATGCGTTATTCATGAATATTTTCCCTAACATGTACATTACTTCTTTTAACTGAATTTGTACGCAAACCCCTATACACCTTCACTTATACGCCTTTTATGGGTAAAAAACACAATTAGAGACACGACAGTGGAGGTCTTATGAGTAAAAAACACAATTAGAGACAAGACAGCAGAGGTTTTATGGGTAAAAACACAATTAGAGACACGACAGCTAGAGGTTTTATTGGTTAGTTGGCAATAAAGAGTAGAAGATGTGCTGTAATTTCCTGGTTAGTTGGCAATAATGAGTAGAAGATGTGCCTCTACCAGAAAATCTGAGAGCAACAAGATGATGTGAGAAGAAAAAAAGCAATTTCTGTAGAGGCAGAAAATTTATACAATGAGCTATATGTGCTCTGTCCACCACAGGGAATCGAACCCCGAACGTTAGTTTTATAAACTCTCAAGCTTACCGCTGAGCCACCACAGAGAACTTTTAACTTTTCGTGAGACCTAATGCATTATAGGTGCTTCGTTCATGAACTAGTTTGAAAAAAAGCACATGAGTGAGCTATAAGTGTCCCAGGATTCAATACTTTAGAGTCCTAAAAGTATCTGTGACATACCTGTGTCCCTTGGGGGGTCAGCGGTAAGTCTTCGAACTTACAATACTAAAATAAGAGGCTCGATTTCCCACGATGGACAGGGTGCAGATTTTGTTTGTTTGTTTTGAATTACGCGCAAAGCTAAACGAGGACTATCTACGCTAGCAGTTTCCCAATTTACCAGTGTAAGACTAGAGGGAAGGCAGCTAGTCATCACCACCCACCGCCAACTCTTGGGCTACTCTTTTACTAACGAATAGTGGGATTGACCGTCACATTATAACGCCTCCACAGCTGAAAGGGCGAGCATGTTTGGTGTGACGGGGATTCGAACCCGCGACCTACAGATTGCGAGTCGAGTGCCCTAACTATCTAGCCATGCCGGGCCAGGGTACAGATACGCAAGCATACCTGAACTAAGTTTGTCCATTACACAGACCTCCTGTACTGTTTGTAGTTGCACTTTTAGCATTGTTCGTGAAAATACCCCCCCCTCCAAACAACAACAACAACAAGGAACAGACAAAGAAAAACAGAAAACTTTGCCATTCCTTTTCTGAAGCCACCCAGTGGCACAGCGATATGTCTGCGGACTAACAACGCTGGAATCCGGGTTTCGATACCTGTGGTGGGCACAACACAGATAGCCCATTGTGTAGCTTTGTGCTTAATTACAAACAAACAAACCCTTTCTAAAAATTAACTCTGATATTTTTTTTTTATTTTACAATTACGATGGGGAAGTCCCATTACAAACATATTTCAAAATGCAATGTAGTAATATAGTAATTGAAAAATATGTATGTGCATTGTATAAAAAATATGTATGTAATATAAATACGACATGCTTTAGAAAAAAATTGTCTTTGCTCTCTCCTCTCTTCATATTTTTTTGTCGGGACGGAAGAAATTTTGGGGGTTTATCCTCACTCACCTCCGGTCTACGCCCTCGAAAAAGCACGTTATTGATATGTTCTAAGGTAATTTTGATCATAACCTATACTACGCAACTTATGGCAATTAAGCCTCCTCAGTGGATAACCACAAGTTGATAAACCTAGCAAGAGAATTTGTCTGAATTACTCACGTATTGTGCGGTTGAAAAAAAATAAAATCAAGAACTCTACTTCCTATTAGATTATTTCTACAACTGATAAAAAGAAGGTGCAAGTTATAGTAAATATTAGTAATTTGTCTTATAAAAAACAAGAACTGTGTCATCCAATGGATACTGAACCACTTGATATAAACAGTAGAAGATGGGTGTTTGTTTGGTTGTAATTTAGCACAAAGCTACACAATGGGCTATCTGTGCTCTGCCCACCACGGGTATCGAAACCCGGATTCTAGCGTTGTAAGTCCGCAGACATACCGCTGTTTTAACAGGAAACTAAAATCAATCAATCATGAGATGAGCGTCTAAAATTAGCAACTTGATTTACACTTACACGTTCTTTAAAGTTTGTATTGTTGTCCGTGTTTGGTATTAACTTCCGATTAAATCAAGTTTCCCACTTAGAGAGAAACTAATAATCAACCTGACAATCAGTCTAGCTAATTAAATACGTTTATCTTGCATTCTTTTAATAGAAATTAGAATACGTTGTTTCGTCAGCCGGTTACCCTTGCCGCTCACGATATTTTCGGTCATAAATCCAATAATAACTCACGAGTTTCGGCCAGCTTAGGGTATTAATGTTAGTCCTAAGTCCAAATATTAGACTAACAATGCAAAACTACTTTACAATAAACGTATAATAATAAAACTAGAAACTAAATGTCATAAATATTAAAATTAAAACCTGTTAAAACGAAAGGGAACCAGCGTATTGTAACTTTACAATAAACGTATAATAATAAAAATAGAAACTAAATGTAATAAATATTAAAATTAAAACCTGTTAAAACGAAAGGGGAACCAGCGTATTGTAACTTGTGTGAATCTATTCCCTTGAGTTTAAAAACTTGCTGGGGATCTGGAAGAAGATGGCGTTATTTTATCAAATCTCTAATTGTGTTTTTACCCATAAAACCTCTACTGTCGTGTCTCTAATTGTGTTTTTACCCATAAAACCTCGGCTGTCTTTTCTCTAGTTGTGTTTTTACCCATAAAACCTCTACTGTCGTGTCTCTAATTGTGTTTTTACCCGGAAATTACAGCACATCTTCTACTCTTTATTGCCAACTAAACAGTAAATTACAGCACATCTTCTACTCTTTATTGCCAACTAAACAGTAAATTACAGCACATCTTCTTCTCTTTATTGCCAACTAACCAAGAAATTACAGCACATCTTCTTCTCTTTATTGCCAACTAACCAGTAAATTACAGCACATCTTCTACTCTTTATTGCCAACTAACCAGGAAATTACAGCACATCTT